AGTAGGAAACCGAAGAGTTAAGAATTTACTTCAAAAGTAAATGATTGTTGTAAAATCTGGCTAGGTTCCATGAAATCATTTTTAAAAACACACAATTTCACTTCTTATCTTTGCATGAAATAAAGATACTGGTCTTTCTTCTGTGTGGATGTTGTTTTATATTTAAAAGGTTTTCAGTATTGATAATTCTAAAGGGTGTTCGAACAGGACTTTGAAGTGTTTGCAGAGTAAACCCTTGGGCTTGTGTTGGTCAGGGAATGACCTAGTTTGGGCAAAACGGACAAGAGAATTTTGAAATGTGGAACTTTCCTGAGGCATAAATTATCCCGTCAAAGTTGCTAGTCGGAACCTGGTGGTAGTGGAATGGTCTCTTTATTACTTACTATGTGGTCATGTACAGGAATGAACAGAGGAGCCCTTCCCACTGGAAGAGACTCATGGAACTTAGACACATGCAAGAGAAAGTGAGAGGTCGGAATGACTTTACCCTCACAAGAAATAGTAAGTGTAGGAGGCATGGGTCTTTGGCAGGTTCAACCAGTAAGGGCTGGTGGCAGTGCCAACCCTGGACACTACCACTGCTCTTACCCTGTGACAATAGCATGCATGTGGAGAACACAGCACATGTACACACTGACTGACACCAGGTTAGCCAGGGGCTCCAATATCTGTTTCATTCCTCACCAAGGTGTGGGATACCTCCAATTTAAGTCAACACTTTTTATTTTAATTACTGTTTGTGTTTACCTGCTCCACTAAACTGTGAGCAACTTCGAAGGAGGCTTTCTGTCATTCACATTGCATTTAAATGGGCATTCAGTAAATGTCTAATGAATGAATGCATCTTTAGAACAAAGAGAAGGCAATGGAGGCTTGAGGTAAAAAGATTAGCTCAAGGTCACTGGCAAGGACNTACCACTGCTCTTACCCTGTGACAATAGCATGCATGTGGAGAACACAGCACATGTACACACCGACTGACACCAGGTTAGCCAGGGGCTCCAATATCTGTTTCATTCCTCACCAAGGTGTGGGATACCTCCAATTTAAGTCAACACTTTTTGTTTTAATTACTGTTTGTGTTTACCTGCTCCACTAAACTGTGAGCAACTTCGAAGGAGGCTTTCTGTCATTCACATTGCATTTAAATGGGTATTCAGTAAATGTCTAATGAATGAATGCATCTTTAGAACAAAGAGAAGGCAATGGAGGCTTGAGGTAAAAAGATTAGCTCAAGGTCACTGGCAAGGACAGAGCCAGGACTGAGCTTGGCATTCAAATCCCTGATGATGTCCCCTGGGCCCATACCATGTTGACTTGTACTATGAACAGGATAAAAGATGACAGGAGCATTTATAACCATCATTTGTTATTTTCATTATTATCTAAGACAGTGGTTCTGAACCGAGGTGAATTTGCCCTGCCCCCACTCCAGGGGACATTTGGCAATGTCTAGAGGCATTTTTGGTTGTCCCAATAGGGGAAGCAGGTGCTACCAGCTGTAGTGGGTAGAGGCCAGGAATGCTGCTAAACATCCTACAATGTGCATGATAGCTCCCACAACAAAGAATTATCCAGCCCCAGTATCAGTAATGCCAGGGTTGAGAAACCCTGATCCGGGGTCAGCATTAAAACCTTAGAATGAAAAGAGGATATTTCAGAGACAGCAAGAAAGAGGTTGTAAGACATGACAGGCTGTGCCCTTTTTCAAAAAGGGTTTTGATGAGAGAGAAGGAGCTTCTAGAGGAAGCTGACCGTGGCTGTGACAGGGAAGGGGTCACAACCAGCGGTATGCCTTTGAGGTCACCCCTGTCCCAAACAGGACTGTAGGTCACAATATGCCCAATACCTCTCTCACCTACAATCCTAACTTCTGACTTGCACTCGGGTCTAGACTAACTCTAGATTCTTCCTGAGATTTTGTCTAGTAATTCCTGATTTTCACAGACTTCAAGAACATTTTGTTTCACTGAAAAAAAAAAAAGACACCTTTACCCTAAAAGTTGTCAGTATTGGCATTTTTAAGTGCAATGCATTAGTTGACAAGAGTTTTAAAACACCTACTGTCAATTTGAAAGAAAGGTCTATTTAATCTCAAAGAGTTTCTATGTAATCAAGATTCTTATTCTACTTGTATTTGAATAGACAAAAATATTTCAGAATCCTTATACTATTTCAAAGGTTTAGAATTTCACTACCTAGCTAAACCAAATTTAGAAAAATATTAGTATTTGATTTTTCCAATGAAGCATTTTTCTCATTTAGAGTCTGTTTTGCTCAATAGTGTTGGAAAGTCATCATTATCTTCTTTTTAATTAGGGCTTTAGGATAGAGATGGGGTTTCACAGAATAAATAATACAGGAAGGTAAGGACCTTATATAATCTCACATATCGATTTCCCATGAAAACCTTTCTTGGCATAAATTTGCTATTCTATGTTTGAGCCTCATAGAAGGCAATGCATCATAGATACGTACTTTTTGTGTAGCTGGAATGTACTTATTTTTAAATTGGAAACTCAAGAAAGCAATTAAGGACTCTTTATGCCAAGATGGGTCACAATGCATTGGTTATAGATCAAATAAAATGTCTGAGTAACTGCCTTCCAAATAGAACATCAAAATAGTTCTTTAGCACTTTACACAAAGACCTCTGCTAAGTTCAAATCCCCCTTCATTTTCTGCCCCATGAAACAAAATGCTGCCTTCTCTCTTCTTTCAAAAATTCCCCAAATGATTTACATGGGGTTGCTTCAAATTTACCTTTACTTTGCTAACCATTGTCTCCTTCAGTAAGTTCTCTCTTTTGACTCGTATTTCCCTTTCTGTAGGAATTTTTGAAAGGGCCGTGCAGTGTTCCTAATCGTAGGTCATCTTTCTATTGGCATTTGGCCACTGGGGACCGAGTATTCTACAGCTTCAAAAACCAACCAGATAAAAGTCAATGGCAGCATTATTATGATGGACAGGAAATAAAATTATCTCCCAATGTCCCCAAATATTGAACTGCTCAAAGTAAACGGGTGATGTTTTTTAGGCTCGGAAGATCACACTCACATTCGCACATTGTCCCTGAACAAAGTACAGTTTCTCCTTTGGTACACATCACTTCAGCAAAATCTCTAAAGGGACAAATTGTCATTTTATTTCTCCCCAGGTCCTCAGAATATTTTTTAAAAATTATGATTCCATTTACAAGTCCAAGATCTTATTTGGTTTTTCTATGGAAAATTGGGAGGCTTCTCAGAACCATAAAATTATCTTTCTCTAAAATT